ATTACAGTGTTTGAATTATAAACAAAACCAAAAAAGATGCAGAAGCAATAGTCTCTTAATCAAAACTGTAAAGCAAGGCAATTTCTAGCTGCAGTTAAAAGCAAACTCTGAGATATTAAGAGTAAACTCTCCAGGCCTTTGATTTCTGTCTCTTTCCTGTAAGAGTGACACCAGACATTTTTTCAATTAAGCAGCTTGACACCCTGAAGAAACCCAGAGTGCATGATTTAATGAGCACATAGTGTATGCATGGTAATGGGAAGGCTGACAGTTTGCTCATGTCAAACTGACAAGAGAGCACTACACATTAGTGAAAAGGTTTTATGGGTCTCTTTTCATTAAATAAGCTCTACAGTTCAGAAACATTCCAATTGTATTGGCAAAGCTGTCACTGCTTGTCCCGGGTGACCTTACTCTTTGTCACTCTCCAAGTCCTCAAGTCTTGACGAAAAAACTTACTTTTAGAAAACAGAGTATGAACACAAAATAGGGACATTTAAAGGTTCTCTGATGTTGTCAGGGTTTATGTGGAGCCTCCTAAGCCATGACTCCATTGATGATGCCACATTACACAGATTCTAACCCAGTGTGTGCCGATTCTTCACAAGCACTGCCGAATAACCTGCATGAGCCATACAAAGGATGCCTATCTGTTAAGTTATTCAACATTTTAGAAGCAGTGCAATGTACTGAAAAAACATGGGCTTCGGTGACAGATAGGTGGGGTTCAAACCCTGACTAAAACCATTCTATGGCCTTGGTCAAGTGACATCACTTCTTTGGAGTAGAGTGTCCTAATTTGTAAAATGTGGACAATCACATCTACTTTGTATGGAGAAGATTGTACAATGCTTCTCACAGTTGCTATAATTTGGGGTACTGAAATAAGTTGACCCATAGAAGTTCAGCGTATGGAGTTTTAAGGAAGTTAACTATAGTCTGACTTTCCTGAAATTTCTACCGTGAACCTTATTTGGAGTTATATAAGAAGGAAAACAATAGGCTAACATTTATGCACCAATGTGGTCTCATTTAAACCTATCAAGATTCTGAAAAACTAGGTGTTATTACCCCATTTTTATAAAATCTGAAAAACAGGAAGGGATCTTAGAATCATATGAAAATTTTCTTTTTTAAAAATATTACTTATTTTACTGGGGTGACATTGGTTAATAGGATCATATAGGTTTCGAGTGTACATTTCTATGATACATGATCTGTATCATGTGAAAAAATTCTAACATGAAACATTTGTGTTTCCCTTTTTGCCCTGTCTACCAGAAAACTCAGAGTCAATTTTTGTGCTCGATGTGTATTTGCAACTCTATTAGCAGCAGTGGTAAGAGGATTTGTTTTCAAATTTTCTATTTATATTCTATTAATCTGACTTTAAATTGGCTATACACCACCACAAATGAAGTACAGATTTCTTAGCTAGCTAGTAAGGTAAAAATGAGCAAGATTTCATATGTTTTATTAAATAGTTGTTGATTTTGTTAAATGATTGTTAGCTTAAAGTGATGTCTCTTAACTCACAATTGAGTTAGTCCTCAAAAAATTCTGGACTCAAAAATACTTAATGTGATCTCACTTGGAATTTTATCAGACAAATATACTCATTTATAATTATGTCATCTTAATGGAATGACCCTTTTATTAATAGTAATATGGTTGCATATACGGATACAATTTTATTATTTTTTTCCTGTTTGCCTCCTCTATTGTCCTCTATTCCTTTTTTCCTGCATTCTTTTTGGATCATTTTAAAAAATGCTTAGTATTCTATTTTTACCCACTATACTTTTAGTGGCTGTTCTGGAGAGTAAAATTCTTGACCTTTCACAGTCTATTTAGAGTTAATTTCATACAAACTCATATAAAATTTGAAAGCCTGGCAAGTGTATAAGTCCATTTACCCCCCCCCCCCCCATTCTTTATGCTACAATTGTCCTATGTTCTGCATCTGTACACAGCACCTTATAAACACCACAGTGTTGTGATTTTTTCATTAAAAGATTCTATGCATTTTAAAGATACTAAGAGGAAAAAATACTCTTTTATATTTACAATCTCTGACAGTCTTCATTCCGTCCTACAGGTGTAAGCTCCCACTTTATCTCACTTTAGCCTGCACAACTTCCTGTAGCATTTCTCCTGGTGCAGATCTGCTGCCAATGAATTCTTAGTTCTATCTGAAAACGTCTTCAATGTGCCTTTATCCTCAAGGATACTTTTACTATACATAGATTTCTCAGTATTTAACAGGTTTTTTTCCTCTGTATTTTAAAAACTGTTTCACTTTTTCTGGCCTCTGTAGTTTCTGATTGGATGTTAGCGCGTATTTAAAGCTTGACCCTGAGAGGTAACGCACCATTTTTCTCTGGCTGCTGTTAGATTTCCTCTTGATTGTTGGTGTCCAGTTTTAGATGTGCCTGGGCATGGTTTTGCTTCAAATGTACCTGTTTGGGGTTGATGGAGTTTCTAGATCTGTAAATGTATGTATTTCACCGAATTTGAGAATTTTTAGCCATTATTTCTTCAAATATTTTTCTGTCCCATTCTCTTTCTCCTCTCCTGAGAATCCAATTACACATAGGGTAGGCATTTATTTTTGTCACATAGGTCCCTGAGGCTCTATTCCTTTTTTCTTTTAAGTAGTTTAAATCTTTTTTCCTTTGGAAAGAAAATTCCTATTGATCACTGTTCAGGTTCACTGGCACTTTCCCCGTTCCTTCTAATGATGGAAGTCCACTCAGTGAATTTTATTTCAAATCTGCTTTTCAGTCTGGAATGTCCGTTGGGTTCTGTTTTCTGTTTCTGTGTGTTTATTCACTGTAAGTGTATTTTTCTGACCTTCCATTGTGTGGGGTTACAATAGCTTCTTTAAAATCCTTGCTAATCACACATCTGGTGATCTTGGGATTCGTCTCAGATGGTTGCCTCTTCACTTCAGAGGATTTACATTTTCTCCGTTTTTCTTATGTTGTGTCATTTTGGGTTGTATCATGAGATTGTATGAATACAAATATGGTGTGAAGCCTTAATGCTCTTTGAAGAACACTGATTTCTTTGTCCTAGCAGACAATTTCCCTGGTTACACTCAAATTGAAAACTCCCTTGGTTGGCAGCTCAAATCTCAGTTCAGGTCTTCTATCTTAGCTGTGCTAGTAGGCGTGTGGCTCAAGGGTCAGTCAAAAATGTGGGCAGTGGCCCTAGTCAATTTGGCTCAGTGGACAGAGTGTCAGCCTGCAGACTAAAGGGTCCTGGGTTTGATTCCAATCAAGGGCATATGCCTGGGTTGTGGGCTTGATCTCCAATAGGGGGTATGCAGAAGGCAGCCAATCAATGATTCTCTCTCATTATTGATGTTTCTATCTGTCTCTTCCTCTCCCTTTCTTCTGAAATCAATAAAAATATGTTTTTAAAAAATGTGGGCAGTGTTTGTGCATAGAACTGTGAGCTTCCCTTGTCTGCCTCTCTCTTTTCCAGGATTCTAGCTGTATTTTCCAGGGACTACGCTTACCTTGAACTCTGTTCTTTGGGTTTTCAAACCAAAATGACAGTGGGTTTTCTACTGGCATTAGCCACCTGGAGTCATGTAACTCAACCTGCCTTTAGTCCACCAGTTGTCAAATGGGGAATTCACTCGGCTTGGTCCCTGCTTCCAAGTTCTGAATTTCAATGCCCCTCTAGCAGGGTTTTCTACTGGCATTAGCCACCTGGAGTCATGTAACTCAGCCTGCCTTTAGTCCACCAGTTGTCAAATGGGGAACTCAAATGGGGAACTCACTCGGCTTGGTCCCTGCTTCCAAGTTCTGAATTTCAATGCCCCTCTAGCACCTGCTGGCTTATTTCCACTGTCCAATGGCACCAGGTAATTCCCCGCCCCCTTCTTCATAGTTGTCACCTGTGTCAGGTTCAGTAGAGCCATACTACAAACAGAAACAAGTAGAAACATTTAGAAAATGTTCCTTTGCTTTTTCTAGTTCCTCTGCTCAAAATACTTAGCCTCCACCCATAACCTCAACGAGTGATACTGGGTTTCGGTTTCAAGCAAACAGACTCAGAGCTTCCCTGATCAACTTGCCAAGTACATGCGGAGATTTGGAAAGAAAGCACAGCACAAAGTGAAATGATAAACAGCAATGAGATCATGCCCATCGATGGGCAGCATTCATCTCAGAGCAATGAGGCTTGTACAGGATCGTGGCTACAAAGATTATCTACATGGTATTTTTTGCCATGTTCTTTATTTTACCTTATTTTTTTGGTCTCAGATATCTCTATATCCTGCCTCATTGGAAACTTCAATAGGTAATGTACTAAGAGAAAGAGAATACTGAATATAGCATCCTTAAATACCAACACAGAGTTGGTACATGCGCATTTCCTCCTAATAATATTCCTAAGGCTTCCATATCTTGAGAGGTTTTATAAGCCAGGCATCTTGCTAATCATTTTACATAAATTGTCATTCAATCCTTCATAATCATTCTATGAGGTAATTCCTATAATCAGACTCATGTTATAGAGAAAGAAACCAGAATTCAGAGAGGTTAAGTGAGCTAACTGAGATCACACAGCACTTACCGAAATCCAAGTCAGTCATCTCAGAGGAAAAGCAGCAGAGAGTGTGTAACTGGGGCTCGGAGTACATGCCCTTTACTTTAGGTAAGAAAAGAAGTCTTTCCAAGCAGGAGGAATAAGTGAGGACTCTAACACTCAAAGTTATATTCTACAATTCCGCTTTCCACTAATTACTGGTATTAAAATGCCCCTCCTTTGGATGCATATTTTATATTGACAGTTTTCGTGTGTGTGTGTGTGTGTGTGTGTGTGTGTGTGTGTGTGTGTTTAAAGCCTTGTTTCATGGCTTAAAAACAATAGCCAGAACAATAGCTCAAGACCAAACAATTCCATGCAGAGACTCCAGTAAAGAGGCTGCGATACCAGGGCTCCATGTCACCACACTTACTGTCCTCACACCTTCTGTTTTCCAGGTAAACTCTAAGGAGGCAGGTGGTTCAGCAGAGAGGAATCGGGCACATTAAGGAGTGAAGACACCTCCTCCTCCCACCACAATCTGCATTTGGTGATACTTCTAGACGATGCAGCAATGTCGCACAGTCTTACAAATTCTAGGAGCAATCCTGCCTAACTTGTGAACTTTGCATAAACCCAAGGGTGTGACTGTGGAATGAGAAAGGAAGGCAGGGTCAGCCGTTAGTAGGCAGGCAATGTAAAGTGGAAGCCGGAGACAAGGTCTTGACTAGAAGCAACCAAAGGAATACAGTACCTTTGTGTACTGGCACAGGGCTGCTCAATGTCTGTATTTACTAAATGTGTGAAATCGTTTGCTGAGACCTCACAGTGGGAAATGTTGCTAAGGGAGTGAAAATGAGAAGGGGTGACAGAAAAGGACAGGAGTGTGTATATATGCATGAAATCCAGGAGGGGTGACGAACACAGTCTACTGACATCATGCCAGGGAAATTTCACCACATTAGCTCATTTCTGCATACTCAAGATAGCCAGTGAAACCATTCAAAGACACAGGAAGACAAGGGACTAGTTTGCCCTCTCTTCAAGACTTTTTATAAGATTTATCCTTCGTTGTTGCTAACACAGGACACTAGGACTTACTCTGGCCAATGACAGGCCCACCTGCTTTCAGAGATGTTTCATATCAGAAGCATCCTCCTGCTGCTCCCAATTTCATTCCAATTCCACGATCATGCTCAAAGCCATGCAGACAAAACAACCTGACCCTAACTGTTTAACCTGACATTACACATACCAATTATTAAACGTGTGTCGCTGTCTGGTGAGGGGAGAATAATGTAACAACATGTCAACCAGGTCACAGGCTACACTTCACAAAAAGCAAGGGGAGTGGTTCCTTCAAAACGTGAAGGCATCCATCTTCTACTAAATTGACATACCCCATTTTAAAAACGGCAGCTACAAATAGAAGTCGAGAGAGGGTCAATTCTCAAAGGGAACAAGCCCTGAGAAAAGCTGTTTTACGTTTACTATTATAAGGATGCCCATAGTACGTCAATTATAACAAACTCTGTTAAAAAATTTAAAAGTAAATAAATGCTACCTCTCCAACTACTGTTACCTCCTCGGTGCTCAGTGGCAGGATGCAGAAAGCTTTCACAGAGGGTAGAGGCAGGCAGGTGGTCCTGGGATACCTACAACAAAAACAATAGATTCGGATGATTTCAGCAGTGACCTGAATGGCTTCTAGGTACAACTCCATTAGGCGCATTCCCCACAAAGACAGAGTTAGCGGCTGCACTGGTATGGGTAAAGGACAGAACACAGGCACACACATGATCTCCGTAGGTAGTAAATTATTCTGCATGAGAGAGACTGTGGCTCAAGACTGGCTTATGCGACTCACACAAGGTCACATGAGGGAGAGACAGAATGGAGCCTGGACATTCCGTCTTCTCATTTCTGCTCTAGGACTGTTCTCTGCATTACCCCGCCCCCCGCCCCCGCCCCGCTCAGAGCTACCAGTCCCGGCACCGGGCACTGGGACTTTGTATTGTACAAAGACAAGGCCAAACCACGAGTCGGGTAGGCAGAGTTCTCTGGCTTTGTGGTGGTCTGCGCCAAACCATCTGTCTGAAGAGTATTCTGTGGGTCACTTTTCTTCCTTGGCTTTGAAACCCTGGTGTCCACAGACTCTGAGAAAATCTGACAATGGAAGGAACAGGGGGTTTTGGTCCACGTGGCCCGAGTTTGAATACTTAGTAAGCCATTTACTGTATCAAGCTTTTGCAACAAGGATTCAGAATCTGGAGAAGGGGCTGCGAACAAATGGATACACTAGATAAGAAATAAAAATTTAGAAGGCATGGGGAAAAGCCAGGTGGAAGCCTCACACTCTAACAGAGTGGCTCCCTGAATCTACGGACCCATTGCTTTTTATTTACTAGAATACACATTTGCCCTTCAGCAAAGTAAACAGACATATCAAAGGTAAGGTTTGGTAAACAATAAAAGATTACCAGGTTAGGAGATGGCCTTCAGCCACCACTGTCTCCACAGAACAATCGGTGCATAGCTTTTAGCCCTTGCTAAAGCCCTAAGGTCCATCAGCCTTCTGACGGACCTCTCGCATTTACTATGCTACTAGAATACACATTTGCCCTTCAGCAAAGTAAACAGACATATCAAAGGTAAGGTTTGGTAAACAATAAAAGATTACCAGGTTAGGAGATGGCCTTCAGCCACCACTGTCTCCACAGAACAATCGGTGCATAGCTTTTAGCCCTTGCTAAAGCCCTAAGGTCCATCAGCCTTCTGACGGACCTCTCACATTTACTATTCAAACTACTTTTTGGTCTTTACCTCCAGCAATTTACTATCTCTGTATCTCATACACTTTCCACCTCTATCAAGTGGCCATAACATGTGACGGGTATATCTATCAAGAGGATACATTTTTTAAAATAAGGACAAAGTACCCAGCACAGTTCCTGGCATGAGTTAGATGAGCAGGCAGTGAGAGCCCTGAGCCCCACCCCCCCTGCAGGGACAGCTCTGGGGCAGAGGAGTGACAGGAGGCCAGAAAGGCCAGCCTGCCCACAAACCACTCAATGCAGTGTACCCATCCTCCTGCTGTCAGGCCCTCTCGGCTCTGACCGCCACCTCTGCTTCACCTTCTCTGAAATAAAAAGATCATAATTACAAGCACCTATTCCTTTCCTCAGATGTGTTTAAAGGTAATTATTTCCTTCTTATCTAATGGTTTCTGTTTATATAATACTGTGTGACCTGCTCAGTGCAATAACTAAACACAAATAATCATTCATTCAGCAAATAACTACTGAGTTCCTACTAAGGTGCCAGGCACTGTTCTCCATAGCAGTGAAAATCCCACCTTCATGCCTACATTTTGGTTGGGAAGGCAGACAATAAACCTAAAACCACAAAATGCGTGTTTGGTTGAATAGTGCCACGTGCTCGGAGAAACAGAGTGGGAAAGGAGATGCTGAGTGTTATGATTGAATTAGGGCCCTCTCCCCCGCCCCAAAAAAAGATATTTCAAGTCCTATCCCCAGTACCTAAGAATGTGACCTCATTTGGAAATAGGATCATAAGAGACGTAGTTAATTAAGGTGAGGTCATACTGAAGTAGAAGCAACTCCTACTCCAGTGTGACTGGCGTCCTTGTGAGAAGGTGGCCATGTGACAGCAGACACGCACAGGGAGAAGGCAAGCTGTGCAGCTGTGAGCCCAGGAGGCCCAGGCAGCACACTCACTCCACTGAGCCAGGAGGAGGCGGGGGAGGCCGCCCTGCAGGTTGCAGAGGGAGCACGGCTTTAGACTCCCAGTTTTCCAGAACTGAGGGACAATCAATTCTATGGTCTCCAGCCACCCAATTTGTGGTACTTTGTTACAGAAGCCCTAGCAAACGAATATAGTGAGTTTGGGGAAATTGTAGCATTTTTAAGCAGAGATCAAGAAAGATCTCAATGAGAGGGTAACATTTCAGGAAAGATTCAATGAGGTATAGAAGATACCTCTGGATAAAGAAAGTTCCAGGTAGAAGGAACAGGAGATGCAAAGGTCCAGGGCAGGAGAATGCTTGGTGTGTTTGAGGAACAGCAAACACTTCAACTGATGGTTAGTGTTTTAAGGATGAAACTCAAAACTTTTTTGATGATCAGTGAGACTGGTGGTGACTCCTCCCAGGTTGGCTCAGCTCAGAGGGCTGAATTTAAGTCCACCAGCAGAGGGGACCATCTGTCACTTGGAAAGACACTGAGCCTCAGCGGGAGAACAGAAGGCCACCAGTCGCCACCATCTCCAGCACATACCAGTGCCTCTGGAACTACAGGGAAGAGGGACACACATTTCAAAGTAAACTGAGAGTGTGCCCGGGACATCTTTTCAACACTTGCAAAAGGCTCATTTTAATTTCTAGAATCAAGGGAACAATATGCTTGATTAGTTCTTCAGCCGATTTAGCAATTTTGCTTTTCATATTTCTGTCCTTGAAGCAAGTTTGCCATTAACCTTATATGTTCTAGGGCTTGAGATTAGACATTTTCTCCCTCTAAAATGAAATTTTTGCTTTAAAAAAACACTTAGCTTTCTGATAATTAATTTTTGCTGCTAATAACCAAAAGATCCTCTTTGAGACAAGGAGGTCATTCTTTAGAGAGGTTAGAAGTATGAAGAATGTTCCTTTTCTCCCTGGAGAGAGAATCCATGGAGGAAAAAAGTTTACTGGAAAGAAAACTTGGTAATCATAAAGCGAAAGCCCGAAAGGTTGGGTCAATATTGTGTGTTTAAAAATGCCTTATATGCACACTTATTTGTGAGACCTGAAGGCCGTGAAGCAGCAGCTAGCCAAATCCATTAAGATAAATCTGGCCATACCCACGCCTCACATAAGGCAACTCGGAGGCAGAAGGTACCAATTCAGTTCTGGATCTGCCTCCATTGCTTCACCCCATCATAGCCCTAATATTTAAAATTATCCCTTTGTGTCTGTCATGCTGCAGATGGGGTTTGAGTTGGTTTCTATCAATAAAACAAACAAGGTAGAAGGGGATGTTATGAATAAGTTACTGATGTAAATGTACTATTTTTGCCTTTGGATTTGGGTGATGATAAACATGATTCCACACATGGAAAGTAGATTGTTCAGAATTACTACACTTGCTTCGTTTAATTTATCTGAGGAAGTACTTATACTAATATGGCTGCTCTGCACGCAATAAGCATTGGATTTCCAAATGAACAAAGGAAGTACGTGAGGACTCCTTATAAATGGGCTGCAGCAAAGGGCATTCAGCAAAGGGCTGTGCACCAAAGAAGATGGGCAAAAAGCCTCCCACTCAACCCTGAAGATGAAAACAGCCATCATATGGCCTCAGACTCTACATTCTTTGCTCCTGGCTAATGATATGCTGAAGCCTTACAATGAAATGCTGGGGAACTGTTGCTATTTGGGGTTGTCACAAGGTAACATTACATTATTCGGGACAAATGAGGACACTATCAGTTCATTCCTCTGGGTCATAAATTGATGATGCTTTAGCAAACTAGCATAAGGAGGCAATTTTGCATAGTGGTTAAGAATGTGCATTCGAAGCCTGGGCTCTATCAACCAAATGACTGCATCACTCTACCTAAATCATCAATCTTTGTCATGCTCACGTCCCTCATTGGCAAAATGGGGATAATAATTTTGTCTGCCTCATAGAGTTATGAGGGGGGCAATTTGTGGAAAGGGTCTGGAACATGGTTAGAATTCAAGAATAGTGCTATCACTTTTTTAAAAAATCATCGCCATCACTTTTATTATGTTTAACAGTATTCTCATTTTCATCCATTATCCTCATTTTCACCCATTATCCTCATTTTCACAGCAAAGGAAAACATCTACAAAATGAAAGGCAACCTATTGAATGGAAGACAATAATTGCAAATCATATATCTGATAAGGGGCTATTGTCCAAAGTATACAAAGAACTCATACAATTCAATAGCAAAAAAAAAAAAATACTATTAAATAATGGAAAGAAAATCTTGAATAGACATTTTTCCAAAGAAGACATAGAGATGGCCAACAGGTACATGAAAAGATGTCAATATCACTGATCACTAGGAAATGCAAATCAAAACCACAATGGGAAATCACCTCACACTTGTTATAGTGGCTATTATGAAAAAGTGTTATGATAAGTGTTAGTGAGGATGTGAAGAAAAGGGAACCCTTGTGCACTATTAGTGGGAATGTAAATTGGTGCAGCCACGATGGAAAGCAGTATGGAGGTTCCTCAAAATTTAAAAATAGAACTACTATATGATTTAGCAATTCTACTTTTGGGTATTTATGCAAAGAAAACAAAAACACTGATTCATAAAGATGCATGCACCATTATTTACAATAGCCAAAATATTGAATACACATGTCTATCAATGAATGAATGGATAAAGAAATTATTATAGATAGATAGATAGATAGATAGATAGATAGATAGGAAGATAGATAATGTAATATTATTCAGCCATAAGAAAGAATTAAATCTTGTATTTGTAACAATATGCAACCTTCTAGACAATTTGCTAAATGAAATAAGGCAGACACAGAAATACAAATACCACATGATTTATCTTATATGTGGAACCAAGAAAACAACATCAAACTCATAGATACAGAGAACAAATTGGTGGGTGCAAGGGGTGGGAGAGAAATGGATGAACTTTTAAAATTTTTAAATAAATTGAATTTTAAAATGTTTAAGTTCATTAAAAGCACAACTTACCACCTTGTTTGGCAATTAATTACTTTCATTCACTTAACAGTTAGATATTGAGTATCTAATAAGTGCCAGGGACTAGGCTAGGGGCTGGAGTACTCAGGTGATCAAAGTCAAACATGATCTCTGCCTCCCGGGAGTTACTACAGGAAGCGAGAAAAGCCAGACACTCACAGGGAGAGTATCTTCTCCATCTGAGGGAAGAGCTCTAGAAACTGAAACAAAGGACTTTGATTTAAACCTGAGACCTGATAGGTGGGAAGGAGGTAGACAAGGGGCAGAAGGATGGCTTTTTAAGGTGAGAGAACACAACATTCAAAGGCATGGAGTAGATAGTGTGTCTTCATTGTTATTGGAAGTCAGTGCAAACTGCCCATTGGATAGTTCACTTTCATTGAACAACTATATATCAGATACCTACTATGAGCAGGCACTGTGCTGAGCCCTGGGACAGGACGGTAAGCAAGACTGACTCTTGCTCTCACCCTTACCTCCAAATACTTACTCCCTCTGTTTGAAAATGCACTGAAGTCATTATTAACTTTATAACCAATAAATTCTATCTTTAGTTTTTATTCCAAAGAGATTCCACGTGCATGGAGAAACTGTGATGCTTTCTCTGGTCAGACAAGGAATGCTACATAAGCCAAATAATTCCCTTTCTTCCTTGGGGCCTACCAACTTATACTAGCAAGGAGGTCATGTTTCTGTGTTCTGATTAATTGTTCTATTACTTGCATAGTACCTTTAACTTAGTCAGCGGCCTCAAATTCTTTGGGAAGTTGATAGAAGAGGGGAAGCAATGGATAGGAAAAGAGGGACAGAGAGCAAGTTTCTTGAGGTCTGGGAATTGTCCGATGGACCTTTTGTAGTTTTCATGGTAGCAAACATGGGCTGAATGAAAGGCAGTTAGTAACTTCTGATTGATGACTGACTAAATGAAGAATACAAAGCCTCCTGAATCAACTTGGGCTCAATTATGAGGGAGAAAAAGTGAAAGTTGCTTACTTCTCTCTAATCTTCATTTGAGAGGGAGAGCTTAAAACCGTGGTTAAAAAGCTCAGCACAATCGTTACTGTACAGCAGTTTAATAACCAAACAGGAGAACCTTTGAGACCACAAGAGAAATGTCATAGTTTAACTGACCTCTCGCTGATGGAAAAAAATGTTAAGCTTCTTTATGACAAAATGGAAATACATTTGCAATTCTATTTCCTAATGTTCTCTCAGTTATTTGGAGGGGCGAGGGAGATTGCTAGTTCTTTTGTTTCAAAACTCCATGCTGTGAAAATGAAATTGTAATATAATTATCTGGTTAACTACCAGGAGAAGGGGGGATATTTTTAGAAGTTTGGAAGACACCTACTTTATCAATATTAGAGAACTGTAGAGTTCTGTCTTGTTCACAGCTAAAGCCATCCAATTCATATAACAACAACAAATGTTACATTTAAGGAGGTATTAAAGCATCTCAATCTTGCCATTAATTCAACATATTAGTGAGACTTTCTGACTTAATCCCCAGTCATGAACTGTCTGTTGATATCATGGCAGTAATATTGTAGCAGTGAAGAGTGTATAGTTTGCTTCAGGTACCTGGCTAAGGCCAATTTCATGATGCTTCAACTCTTGTGACAGGTAGAAAAGTAAATCATATCTGTATTCCCCTAAGATGAAATCATTTCTGTATTCTCGTAAGATGAAATCATTTCTGCATTCCTAAGAAACTCTTCAGTGCTAACAAGTACACCAACTAGTTGATAAACTGGAAAGAAAACAGTATTAAGTGATGGCACTCCAGGAAACAGTTAAAAGGAGAAACTCAGAAAATAGGATTGTGAAGATAGATAATGAGATTCTCAGAACAGTATGGTGAGGGAAGGAAGAAGTCGAATAGCATACGTTTTTAAAAGGTAAGTTATTCCTAAAGCAATTACTTAAATGTGAGAGTTCCTCTCACGGTTCTCAACCTTAGACTCTGAAAGGGAACTTCTTATAATGCAAGACTAAGAGAGCCAATTACTTCAGCACCAAGACATCCTAAATCTTTGGACTTGGCAGTTCAAAAAAACTCTTGGAAAGAGTATAAATTCCCCACTAACGACTCTGACTTTATACATGCAGACTCTAAAGGATGAATGAAAACTAACCAATTAGACAGCAAAGCAGAGAAGAGGGAGCACTGAGTGACGGACCTCCCAGAGTTTCAGTTGTGCCTCCACCCCAACAAGCTCGGAGCTCTAGATCATATTTGTAATAAAAATCATAATCATAAAAATTGATAATTACACAGCATCTAGTATTCCAGGAACTTTCCATTCTCTGCCACATCTCCTGTAATTTTTATAATGCAGTCTTTATAAGCTATGTGGAGAAATTATCATGCTGGAGAAGAGAGGTAAGTAGTTTGCCCAAGACCACCGGGCACTGAGTGGTGGGGTCAGGATCCTGAGGGGAGCAGAATTTGCCCCCCCCCGCCCTAAAATATGGCTTTGGGGATAGTGATTATTTTAAGTTGGTTATTTTTAAGAAACAAAGACTCAGAAAATGTATCACCACTATGCTGTATACTTGAAACTAATATAAAATTGAATGTCAACTGTAATTAAAAAGTAAGTAAATAAAAATTTAAAAACATAAAAACTCAGAAAGAACCTTTGATCTTCCCTTAACTGCCTGAAAGAATTTAGAGAGCTTGTGCCAGGAAGGGAGATGTCATCACAGACAGCTACGGTTTAATACCAACCAGTGTGTGATAGGCAGGGAGGAGCGTAGCAAAGTCCTCTGTGTCCCATTGCTAAAAATAGCCCCACAAACATTTTATTTATCAAACTTTTGCTTTTCTATCTATGGGTGAATTGCCATCCTGCACTCTGAAGTCTCAATCCACAACCTTCTCCCTTCTCTTAGCTCCAGATGGCACAGAAGCCTTAACTGCCGATCTGTCCCAGGTCTCATATTGGAACCCCCTTGTGTACACACATGATAAGTTTTCTCCTGTTAATCTGTCTCATGTTAATTTGATTACTAGTCCAGCCTGAAAAATTTAGAAAGGCAGAAGGAAAGCTATTTTTTTTTTAATTTCTACACTTCAAATACAAAACTCTCCAACCCCAGAGCCCAACCCTTACCCACCACTCTGCAGACAAACTCAGTCACCTGCTAGGATGCTATAAAAGGTACTAAGATTTAGGAGGCAAGATAGAATAATAGGAAAATCTCGGGTTTAACGTGACTATGTGGCCCAGGAGAGCAGCTTCTTCTCCCCTTTTTTAAATTAAGCCTTTTATTTTGACATAATTGTAGACTCACAAGCAAGTTCATAGAAAAAAATACAGAGGTTCCATGTACCCTTTACCCAATTTCTCCCAATGGTAACATCTTGCAAATATACAATACAACAATAGCACACCAGGATATCAACATTGAAACAGTCAGATACAGAATGTCCCATCCCCACAGGGACCCCCCCCCCCATTGCCCTTCAATAGCCACACCTATCTCCTTCCCACCCCATCAGCACTTATATGATTTTGTCATTTCAGGAAAGTTATATAAATGGAATCACACAGTATGTAATCCTTTGGGATTGGCTTTTTTCTCCTCAGCTTAAATCTCTGAAGATTCAACCAAGTAGTTGCTGCCAAGTGGTTGCATGCATCAATGGTTCATTGCCAAGCAGCATTACAAGATATGAATGAACCAGTTGGTTTAACCATTCACCCAGTGAAGGGCACCTGGGCTGTTTTCAGTCTGGGGCTATTACTAATAAAGCTTCTATGAACAGGTTTTTGTGTGACCATAAATTTTCATTTTCTTGGGATAAAGGTCCAGGAGTATGGTAAGTGCATGTTTGTTTTTATAAGAAACTGACAAACTAGTTTCCCCAATGGCTGTGCCATTTGCCATTCCCACCAGCAATATATGAGTAATTCAATTTCTCTGCATCCTATTGTTTTAATTTTACTTATTCGGATAGGTGTATAGTCACATATCACTGTGGCTTTAATTTGCATTTCCCTGATAGCTAATAATGTTGAACATCTTCTCATGTGCTTACTTGCCATCTGTATAACCTCTTCAGTGACTTGTCTCCATAACTTGAACATTTTCTAATTGGGTGGTTTGTTTTTTTACTGTTGAGTTTGAGAGGTCTTTGTATATTCTAGATACCTGTTCTTTTTCAGGAGTGGTAGATATGTGGTTGGCAAATATTTTCTCCTAGTCTGTAGCTTGTTTTTGCCTCCTCTTAACAGGGTCTTTCACAGAACAAAAGTCTTAATTCTAATGAAATCTAATGTATCTTTTCTTCCTTTTATGGAGTGTGTTGGTAACAAGTCTAAGAATTCTTTGCCTAGCACTAGATCCTAGAGACAGTCTCTTATGTTTTCTCCTAAAAGTTTTATAGTTTTACATATAAGTCCATTATACACATTAAGTTACTTTTTATATAAGTTGTGAGACTTATTTTTAGGTTCATTTTTTACCAGTTGCTTCAGGACCATTTGTTGAAAAGACTTTCTTTATTCCATTGAGGAACATTGCACTTTGTCAGAAACCAGTTGGGTCTGTTTTGGGGGTTCCTTATTCTGATCCCTTGATGTATGTATCTATTCCTCCATGAATAAATAGCCAATATTGTTTTAGCTACTCTAGTTTCTGGTTTTCATATGTGCATGATCTTGTATATACAGCAAAATTATGCTGGGATTTTTATAGCAACTACATTAAACCTGTATATCAATTTGGAAAGAATTGGTATCTTCTACTATGCTGGGACTTCCAAATCATGATATGTCTCTCCTCTTATTGTGATTTTCTTGGATTTCTTTCACCAGCATTGTATCAGTTTTAGCACATAAGCTCTGTAAATGTTTTATTAGATTTATACATAAGTATTTCATAATTGTGAGCATGTTCATTGGCTGTATACAGAAATACAATTGATTTTTTAAATTATTTTGTATCCTATAACCTTATTGAGCTCACTTAGTTTTAAGAACTTTTCTTTGTTTTAGATCACTTAAGGATTTTCAAGGTAGAAAATCATGTCATCTGGAATAGTGACAGTTTTCTTTCTTCCTCTCCATCTATAAGCCTTATGTTTCCTTTTATTGCCTTGACTGAACTTCCTGTTCTGTGTTGAATAGGAGTGTCAAAAATAAACATCCTTCCTGAATTTAAAAGAAAGCATTCAGTGTTTCATCATTAAATAGAATGTTATCTGTGGGTAATAAAACAATGTCCTTTACCACGTTGAGAAAATTCCCCTCTATTCCTATTTTCTGAGAGGTTTTTTTTTTTAAATCATAAATCAATGTTGAATTTTGGAAAATGCTTCTTTCTGCATCAATTAATACAATCTATGGTGAATTACATTGATTGGCTTTTTAATACTGAACTAGCCTACCATGCCTGAAATAGGCCGCATTTCCAGCCGTGGGCAAACTACGGCCCGAGGGCCGGATCTGGCCCGTTTGAAATGAATAAAATTAAAAAAAAAAAAAAGACCGTACCCTTTTATGTAATGATGTTTACTTTGAATTTATATTAGTTCACACAAACACTCCATCCATGCTTTTGTTCCGGCCCTCCGGTCCAGTTTAAGAACCCATTGTGGCCCTTGAGTCAAAAAGTTTGCCCACCCCTGGGTTATAGTGTAAAATCCTTTTTTATTCTGAGTTCAATTTGCTAATATTTTGTTAAGGAGTTTGTGTCTATATTCATAGGTCTTTAGTTTCCTTTTCTTTTTTTTACATTGCGTTTACCTAGCTTTGTTATCTGGGTAATACTAGTTTCATAAAGTGAATTGGGAAGTGTTCTCTTCTATTTCCTGAAGAGTCAGTGTAAAGTTGGTGTTAATTCCTCTTTCATTGTTTGGTAGAATTCTCCAGGGAAAACATCTGGGCCTGGATATTTCTTAAGAGTTAAGAATTATGAATTCTATTTCCTTAATAGTTAGAGAGCCATTCAAATTCTCTATTTCAAGTTGGGTGAATTGTGGGAATTTATTTTCTGAGGAAGTGGTCTATTTTCTCTAAGATGTTAAATTTCTATGTGTAGAGTTGTCCATAGTATTCCTTTATTATCCTTTTTTATATATGCCGGCCTATCATAATATCCCGTTTCATTCCTGGTATAGGTAACTTATGCCTTCTGTGTTTTTTTCCTTTGTCAGTCTTCTTAGATGTTTGTCAATTTTATTAACTTTTTTGAAGAGCTAACTACTTTGGCTTTCTTATTTAATGTTTGCCTGACATAGCTCTTTTCACATTTTACTTTTTTTTTCTTTTAATATATTTTTATTGATTTTAGAGAGGAAGGGAGAGGGATAGAGAGATAGAAACATCAATGATGACAGAGAATCATTGATCGGCTGCCTCCTGCACACCCCCTACTGGGGATTGAGCCCGCAACCCAGGCATGTGCCCTTGGCCGGAATCGAACCTGGCATCCTTGACTCCGCAGGCCGATGCTCTATCCACTGAGCCAAACCAGCTAGGGCCACATTTTACTTTAATCTGCCTCAATTATTATATTTGAAATGAGCTTATTATACAGTATATAGCTGGATCATGTTTTTAAAACAACCGCCAATCTCTGGTTTTAAGTAGTATATTTAGACCATTTAGCTTAAATGTAATTATTGCTATTTTAGGACTTAACTTACCATTTTATTTTTGTTTGTTTTCTATTTGTCCTCTCTGGTTTGTGTTTTTCCATTTTCTGCATTCTGCCTTCTTGCATACTACTTGAACATTTTTGGAATTCTATTTTGAATTACCTAAAGTGTTTTTAAGTCCATTTCTTTGTATAACTTCCTTAGTGGTTATTTCAGGTATTACATATTTATTCATAAATTATCACAAACTACTGGTGTCATTTTACCAGTTTGAGCAAAGTTTAGAAAACTTACCTCCTCTTTTGTCTCTTTACTCCCATTTATAATATATTTATCTTAAATATTTCCATCCTTTGCATCCACATCAAAGAGTATTGTAATTTTTGCTTCAGTGTTCAAACAAAATTTAAGAATCTCCAGAGGAAAAGGTAAGCCACTGCATTTACCGATACCTTTGCTTACTGTGCTTTTGTCCTTCCCTGGTGTGCCAAGGTTCTACCTTTTAAATCATTTCCTTTCTGTTATCCCTTCTTTTAGAGCAGGTCTACTGGTGACACATTCTCTTAGTTTTCCTTCATCTGAGAATGTCTTGACTTCTCTTCCTCCGGAAGGGTCCGTTCACTGTCAATGGGCTCTGGTTGATTCTGCACTGACTGTAATTTTCATTCAGTGTTTGAAAGCTGGAAGCTCCTGAGCCTCAGCAAAAATAAGACATGCAGGGAGAGCTAAAAATACAGACACAATGAACTGGAGCCTACTGAGTTAAAATGTCACCAGGCGACACGCAACTCTGATTCTTGTAGGAGAAACAGACTTGCAAAAGAATAATTACAATTACATGTGATAAGCTCAAAACTGCAGGCAGGTACTGGTCATGGGGCTGACACAGAGTGAGCAGCAGTGTTGGAGAATCAGCAGAAGCTGTCGGAGGAGATGTGTGAGCTGGATTTTGAGGATTGGGCAGTAGAACTAGTTTCCCAGTAGAGAAAAAACATTTGCAAAAGCCCTGAGAGAAGTGAAGATGGCACATCTGGGAAATGATACAAACTAACACCTGGCTGAAGTGCCTGGCATCTGTGGAGCCAAAGGAAGATGAAGTGGGAAGACAGGAAAGGCGGATGCTGGGGGCCCTCAGCTCCCACTAAGGAGTTTAGACTTCATCCTATGCGCCACCGAGAGCTGCCAAATGGATGAAACTGGTGAATATAATATTCACAGCAATGACTGCTACCATTCTGCCCTTTTAAAAGTAGCTTGTCACTGAATTATTAATATTATCTTTATTCTACTATACATAAAAATTGAGTTTATGTAGTGGTAGGATGTGTTCATGACCAATAAAAGTAGGAGACAGCTGAGCCCTGCCTTCTACAGTGCATTTTTTTTTCATTCAATTTATTGGGGTGAAATTGGTTCACAAAACCATATAGGTTTCAAGTGTACACTCAACAAAACATCACCTCCCCCATGCCCCTTTTCCTCTGGCTATCACCACACTGTTGACTGTGTCTATGTTATCCTAGATAATACAAGTCTAATGTGCAAATTGTCCCCTCGGGCAGTCGTTTGACCAAGAATTTGATGGGGAGACCAGGAGTTCATCCGCTCGCTATGATGTGCACTGACCACCAGGGGGTGGTGTGGAACATGGCGGGAGTCAGCAACGCGGTGCTGGCAGTGGGCGGCAGTGGAGGCGCTGCAGGCTCCAATAGGACCCTACAAGAGTGGGACCATGGTGGGATGTTAGAGCAGGTGAGTGGGCGGCACCAGGACAAGGCGGGTGCAAGAGGGGCCCAGGTGCTTCCCAGGGCCCAGAGGTCAAATGGGACCCACTCTTCCATGCCAGACACTCGCGCTTTGATTGCAGGCCAGGCCTAGGGACTGCACCTGTGCACGTATTTTGTGCACCAAGCCTCTAGTGTTTATATATTTACTAGAGACTCAATGCACAAATTCGTGCACCAGTCGGGTCCCTCGGCCTGGCCTGCGGGATCAGGCCAAAACTGGTTCTCCGACATCCCCTACGGGGTCCTGGATTTCAAGAAAGCGCAGGCCAGGCCGAGAGATCCTACTGGTGCACGATTGGAGCCAGGGAGGGATGTGGGAGGTTGGCCAGCCAGAGAGGGACCATGGGAGGGCTTCAGGGCTTGTCTGGCCTGCCTCATTCAGTCCTGATTGGCTGAACCCAGCAGCAAGCTAACCTACCAGTTGGAGCATCT